GGGGGGAGGGAAAGCTATTCCTAGATAATTTCACTTTTTCTACATACTGTCTTCCCTAAAGTCTTCAGTTACGCTTGGCTAATCATTTTAAACACAGCCTGTCTTGGTCATCAGTCCTTTGAATACGTGTGCCATTATCTTGTGTTAATGTTTTCCCTCTCCAGTTAGAGCCAGGAAAGGCGCTCCAGGGCGGATTGCTGTCTCGCGAACTGTGACCTCGTGCTCTCTCTCACTTCACAGGTATCATGACAGAGGAGCCCGGTTTTGGGAAAAGCTGTGTGCAACTGAGTTCCGAGAGCTCTACGCTCTGGGCAGCATCCATGACGACCTGTATGTTGTAGGAGGACAGATGAAGGTTAAAAGCCAGTATCTCGTAACAAACTGTGTTGATAAGTACTCAGTAGAGCAGGACCGTTGGCGAAGGGTGTCCCCTCTGCCCCTGCAGCTGGCCTCCCACGCTGTGGTGACGGTGAACAACAGGCTCTACGTGATCGGAGGCTGGACCCCGCAGGTTCGGACCTGCCCTGTGCTCCTGGCTGGCATGGCTTTGCTGAGCCTGGCTGCCACATTGCAAAACGTCCCTGCTGAGCACTGAGAAAGGGTGGCTTACGTTTTTGTAAGATGCTTTTCTGTTTTGTGGAACGTAAAGGTTCAAGCCGTTAAAGCAGTCTAGGAGCGTTTTGAAGTGTGTGCTCACAGACGGGACGTCGTCAGGGTTCACCTGGGAGAAGGGATCGTGGCATGGCCATGACTTCTCACTTCCTGTCTCTCTGGCGAGGGCATACACCCTACAGCAAAAATCTCTCTCTTAGAAAAAAAGAAAGAACGAAATTGGCCTCACTAGTCCATTGGCTGACCTCGTCACATAAAGTCAATCCAGATCTGCTACATGATAAAATCCGTACTTTTGCATCCATTTCTTAAACTGGGGTTTTGTCACTTATGCTCGGTATACTGAAATACATGGGCAGAGGGAAAACCTGGTCTCGAGTTTAACACACAACACATTGTAAAGGTCCTGCTATATATCAGACGGCTAGTGGCTGACACCTGGCTGATTATTCGGAAGTAAACGTTTTCAGAGCTATCTATTTTTGTGGTTAAGCTCAAAGACAATATATAAGCTTTTTCTCTTTTTTTTTTTCAGTAGAGATTAAATACTTAAATTAGGAAAATTAAAACCACAAAGTCAATATAGTTAGTATTGTTACGGTCTTCGTTCTAGTCACGGCCTTAGAGTCTTCGTTCTAGTCACGGCCTTAGTTATAGTATCTGAACACGTCACACGTGAGCACATACTGCATGACAAAGGCTTTGCTGATCTGACCGATGACCTAACACAGGCACTGAGCTGTGAGATCTCATGGGCTTGTCAGTGCACCCCACTGAGCCGGGCCCTTGGCGTACAAAAGTAGTTCACTGAGACGCATTGCATGTGCCTTGCCACGAGGGTGGCAGGCATTTCTCTGTTGAGTGCTTTGTCCAGAAAAGACAAAGTCCCAGATGCATTGTCAGAGTCACTTCATCTCAGGACTGTGACCAGGAGAAGCCACTTACACACCTGTGTGAGAACAGAGTTGCTCAGTTTGTACTGTCTCTAGTTACGAAAAGTACACACGTGGGGGCCAGCAGGTGGCATGGTGCTTAAGGCCTTGGATTCGCACATGGCCAGCCACGGTTTGACTCCTGGACCCAGCAGCTTGAAAATTACCCAGGGCACATCTGTGCACAGAGTCCTGAGAGGAGAGTGGAGAGGGCGGGAGTGCTGTGTGGCTGTCTCCCACAGACTGATTCCCCACTCTCTCTCGCTCTCTGGTAAGCGCACTTGCCCTATGGCAAAAACCTTAAAAGAAAATGTATTAAGTACATAAAAACAGCTGCAGATCATTGATATTAATTCATATCTCTTGAAAATTTGATCCAAGCCATTTCTTTATAGGATACAGTTATGAAAATACTCAAATTGGGACCAGCAGATGGCATAATGGTTATGTAGCTAGACTCCTACGTAGTTGACTGTGGTTCAGTTTCCAGACCCGGTAGCTAAAGACTCACGCTGGGGGCCAGCAGGTGGTGTGGTGGTTAAGGGCTCTGGCCTCCCACATGGCCAACCGTAGTTCAAGTCCCAGACCTGGTGGCTTGCTTTTTCACTTTCTCTCTTTGTCTCTCATCCTGCCTCTCTCTGGCCAAACTTAGATAAATAGATAAAGTTAAATAATTATTTGAAAAAAAAAAAGAAAAGGATGCTGGGCTTGTGTGTGTCCCCAAATCTGGAGAGAATGAAGGGGAGAGAGGATTGCAGCATACCCATCCCTCCTGGAGCGTGATCTCCTGCTTTCTGTCTCTCTGTCTCTCTGTCTCTCCAGTGAGTGCATGCGCCCTATACCAAAAATCTCTCTTAAAAAAAGAAAACTTGGGAACCAGCAGTTAGCGTAATGGCTATGTTGCTGGATTCCCACATAGTCGACCGTGGTTCGCGTCCTGGACCAGGTGGCTTAGAACTCACGCCGGGCACGTGAGGAGAATGGAGGAGAAGGGATTGCGGCGTGACCATCCTCCCTGGGGGGTGATTTCTCGCTTTCTGTCTCTATGTCTGTCTCTGTCTCTCTGGAGAGCGCACGCACCCTATAGTGAAAAACCTCTCCAAAAAAAAAAAAAAA